CCACGCTGGGCGACCTGAGACACGTGCATGACCCCTCTGTGCCTCAGTTTCCTGTCTGTGGAGTGGGCGGGATGGGCGGCAATCCCCTGCTGCGTGATCACTGACAGGGTCAGAGGTGAATGCACAGAGCCCAGCAGGTGCCTGGCACACAGCAGGTGCTCAGTTAAATGGCATCACCGGCTCCTTCATGGTGTGGCTCCTGCCCCAGGTCCCCACTGGTACCTGTACGTCCTCATCGGGGTCTCGGTGGCCGTCGTCCTGCTGCTCGGCCTCCTCGGCCTCCTCCTGGTCCGACAGCGGCGTCGGGGCAAAGGCAGGAAGCCAGGTGAGAAGGGGAGGGGGTCACGGGCCCCAGGGCGTGGTGGCTGCCCCGTGGGCCGACCGAGGGTGGGCTCAGGGCAGCAGCCAGAAGGAAGCCAGAGAGGTGGGAAAGGCTGGTGTGGAAAGACACTTGCAGAATCTCAAGTCAGAGAGTCTAGAAAGAAAACACCCAGGTGGGACCCACGTGCCAACTGAAGGTGTTTCCTCTTTTCAATCTCGGGAGATGGAGAGACACACAGACAATATGTGTGAAGGGCTCCTTTCCCTGGAATCACATGGGGGGTGGTCGTAACCTCCGCCCAGAGCGAGGCTGATTCCCAATGTCCTGCAGGGGCTGCAGACCCAGAGCCCAAGGACAGAGGCCTGCAGGACAGGTAACTCTTGCTCGCACACCCCCAGACTCCCACCTACCCGCCCCCTCTATGCCCCTTAACACCCTGTCTCCTCCCCAGCTCCAGCTCAGCTGCTGCTGCCCAAGAGGAGAGCCTCTGTGAGAGGAAGGGGATTGCCCTGGGGGTGGGCTGGGAGGGTCTGGGGGCAGGGGACCAAATTCCCACATGCATGACCTTGGCACCTCCCCCCCCCCCGCTGAATCCTCTGGATCACAGCTGCCCTGTCTGAGAAACCTCAGGGGACCTTGCCTGAGGTACCCCCATTCGCCCCAGCAGATGCTGCCGTGCAAGACACTCAGCCTGAGGAGGGGGTGGAGCTGGACCATCGGGTGAGACCCCCACTCTCGTGCAGACCCCAGGGCCCTCGTGGTGCCAAACTTAATCCAATGGACACTTCTCTGTCCTCACACCACCCAATCTCAGCGGTGTCCCTCAGATGCCTTCTCCCTCCTTGGGCACTCTGGGTCAGCCTGCTGTGACCTCATGGGGCCTCCTCTGTGCTCCCCTTGCCTGGCTCCCTGACCACTGTCTGACTTCTGGCTGTTGAGGTGCATGCCCAGGTCTCAAGAGGGTGCATGAAGAAATGAATCACCCACAGGTCTTAGGCCCCCTTCATTCATTCACCCAGTAAATGGGCACAGGAAGCCCACCATTTACCAGGCCCCACCTCGTGCTGCAAGCACAGCAGTGGGCAAATCTGACTCACCTTCTATGAGCTCACGTTGTGGGTGACAGACAGAATATGCAAGGAAGTGGGCAGCACCCTCGAGTGCAAAGTGTGGGCAAGGAAAATAAAACAAGAGCAGGGGTAGCAGGTGCAAAAGTCCTGGGGCAGCAACATGTTTTGAAGGAACATAGGCTATGTGGCTGGAGCCAAATGAACAAGAAACAGTGTCAGGAATAGAATCAGAGCCATAGAAAGCATTGCATGTCCCAAGGCTCAGGAAGCCCCTGGAGAGTCCACCAGGAAAGTGACCTAATCTGCCTGAAAGTTTGAAAGTATCACTGTGGCAACAGTGTGGAAAAGAGTCTGAGGCGGTCGATTGGATTCAAGGCGACAAACCTCCCCCTCACTGTCTGTCTGCAGCAGAACACACGGGATGAAGACCCCCAGGGATTGACATGTGCCCAGGTGAGCCACTCAATATCAAGACTCAGGCGGGGACTGGCCCCTTCCCCTTCCCCCGTGTCTGGGGCACTGCTGGGCTCGGAGGACAGACAAGCAGAGGAAGACAGGCAGACAGACTGTCAGGTGGGTCCCTTCTCCAAGCCCCCAGGCTCCCGCCTCCTCAATCACACACCTCCCCTCTCTCCCCCGCTGCAGGCTGCGACATCTCATGCCCCTTCAGATGTGACCTACGCCCAGCTGAACCGCTTGACCCTCCGACGAGAGACAAGTGCATCCCCTCCCTCCCAACCAGGGGAGCCCCCAGCAGAGCCCAATGTGTATGCTGCTCTGGCCCTCCGCTAGCCCAGGAAGGACCCAGACCCCACACTCCAGGGAAGCGACCGCAGAGACCCTGGAAGGCACAGGAGCTGCCCACACTGGGCGCCACCTAATGCCAGCCAACCTGGACTCCTCACGCAGACCAGTAGGAACTCCCGGGACCCTCTGGGAATCACCTGATTCTTCCATCAAAGATAGTACTATCTCTATACCTTGGAAATCAAAGCAACGGACTTCTCAATAATTCAGGAATGAAATGAGAAAACCAAAATGGAAATGAGAGAATGTTTACACTGAAGGACAATGTAAATGTTACACATCAAACCTATGAAATGGGAAAATTAAGAACCAAGTCAATGATCCAAGCCATCATACCATGAATTTAAAAAAAGAATAGCAAATTATTCCAAATGAAGGTAGAAGGAGGGAAATACAGTGATAAGAGAAGCTACTAATGAGGTCAAACAAAAAATAAAGAAGAATCTAAAGCCCAAAATGTTTATTTTTGTAAATATTAATCACATGTATAAATCCTAGCCACGATGGCCAAGGGACAGAGAGAGAGAGAGAGAGAGAGAGAGAAGGCCCACATCCCATCACATCACCATTCAGGACAGCATCACAGCCTACAGACTTTAAATCAATAACAGAGTTTATTATGTTCATTTTTATTAGTTATTATTATATTATGAACAATTTTATGCCAAAATATTAGAAAATGTAGATAAAACAAGACAAAATCCTCAAAAATACAGGTTACCAAAATGACAGACATAGGGATAAATAGAAAATCTGAATTGCTGTGTGTGTAATATATGGTGAATATGCATTAAAGTTTTTCCCACAGAGTGAACTGAATCTGGAAAGTTTCACTGGTGAATGCCTCCAAATACTGATGCATTGTGAAATACACACACACACGGAAAATGGACACACCTACATACACACAAACACATGAACACACATATACTCCTACACACATGAACATGTGAGCACACACTGACACACATGCATGCACACAAACACGTGAACACGTAAGAAATACAGGCACATGCATGTGGACACACATGCACATGGACACCCATGAACATGTGGACACACATGCACACACGAACATGTGAACACATGCAGACCTATGGGAATGCCGACACACATGAGCATGTGAGCACACACATGCACACACACATGCACACACACATACCAAACTTACACAGGCTTCCCCTGAGAATAAAGAAGGAATACTTCCCTAGCACATTTTATCAGTCCAGAAAAACAAAAATTGACATGAAAACTTGACAAGAAGAACCAACCAATTAAATAAAGGGGAAAAAAAGTGATAAGCCCTGAATGGATAAAATAGGGATTCCAGCCTGATTATTTCCACCGGGACACCCCCAGCTGATGAGGTTGGATGTTGTAAGTGCCCGATTTGATGTTACTTTGTCGAATTCTCATTTGTTGCCTACTATTACCTACACCTATGTGTAGATTCCGTTTCTCTTCTACTAGGTTTCCATAATAATAAAGTTTTCTTTCTTTTTTGAAACTGAATAAATAAACAAACAAATAAATAAATGGTATTGATTATTCATGGATCACAAAATTGCATGCATGGACTATCCCAAATAATGTAAAGACCTATTACTCTAATCTGAAAAGGGTTTATGCCATGTCACTGGAAACATCATCAATATACAAAAATCAATTGCATTTCAGAGGTCCAGTTTGGGGCCAAGAGGAAGTGGATGTATGTTTTCCCTATGGACCCCCATAAATCACAGCTGAAACTCCCACACTATAAACAAGAAACATAAGAGTACTCCAAAAAGTGGAGCGAAGGCAGCTGCCGGGCTAAGACCATGAAGACCCCAGGAATGACACAGCAGGTGTCACAGGAGGGCACGTGGGGCATCTGGACTGTACGCCTTCCACCGGGCAGTAATAAGTCAGCACCCCAGCAATGTGCCAGAAAAAGCTTCTGCAACAGAAGATTTAAATAAGATCCAGACCCTCCAAACATCATATCCAACTGACCAGGTTTCCATAAAAAAAGTCACTCATCATAACAAGAACCAGGAAAATCTGTGGAGTGAGAAAGATGCTAACTCTCAGATGATGCAGGTGCTGTTTCCTGACAAGGACTCAAAGGCCAATGTAATGGAAATGCTGTGAGGAGCCATCACACAGACATGCTTCAGATACATCTAAAAATAAATAGAAAATCTCAGCAAAGAAATGGAAGATATATAAAGAAGAGCAAAAATGGGGAGCAAGATGGCGGAGGAGTAGGAGACCTGGGTTTCGTCTGGTCTCAGGAATTCAGCCGAATAGGGATCAAACCATTCTGAACACCTACGAACTCAACAGGAGATTGAAGAGGAGGGTAGCAACAACTCTCTGAACAGAAAAGCGACCACTTACTGGAAGTCGGGCCACTGCTCCTCCAGCAGGGACCCAATAAGTGGCAGATCCGGGGAGACTCCCCTTCCTCCCCGGGGAGGAGCGGCGCGGGAGCGCACCGCAGGGATCTGCTGGGTTTGGAGACTCCACACGGGGTCAGGTGCCAGAGATACAAACGCTCGGTCACAGGCCGGGTGAGCGCGGAGAGCGGCCAGAGATCGGGGACAAGGGAGTGACTGCTTTTCTCTGTGGGCGCACTGAGGAGCGGGGCCCCGAATTCTCAGCTCCTCCGGGTGGAGATTGGGAGGCCGCCATTTTCACTCTGGTCCTCCAAAGCTGTACCGAGAGCTTGCAGGGAACAAAAGATCCCAAGAGCAAACCCAAGCAGATTGCTCAGCCCAGACCGACAAGGGCGGGGCAATTCTGCCTCCCGCAAAGACATTTAGGAACCACGGCAACAGGCCCCTCCCCCAGAAGATCAGCACGAACAGCCAGCAAGCCAAGACCAAGTTTACCGATCAAGGAGAACGGGAGAACTCCAGCGCTAGGGGAATACTGCACATAGAATTCATGGCTTTTTTACCATGATTCATTAGTTTTTCAAAGGTGATTTTTTTAACTGTTTTTTTCTTTTTTGAATTTTTCTTTTTCCCTTTTTCAACCAACATCTTATCAATCCCATTTAAAAAAATTTTTTTTTATTTTTCATTTTTTACAGTCATATTTTATCCCTTCATAGTAGTTACCCTTATTTTTGGCATATATATATAAGTTGCTCTCTCTTTAAAATTTTGAGATACAGTTTCTTCTAACAAATCAAAATATACCCTAAATCACTAGTGTATGGCTTTGTTCTAGTCTCCTGCCTGATCACATTCTCTCCCTTTTCTTTTTTTCTTTTCTTCTTTGTTTTTTAATCTTCTTTCTTTTTTCAAACAACTTCTTATCTTATCAGTTCCTTTTATAAAATCTTTTATAATTTTCATCTTTACAGTCATCTTCCATCCCTTCATTGTATCAACCCTTATTTTGTACATATATAAGTCTTTCTTCCTTTAAAATATTAGGAGGCACTTTCTTCTAACAGATCAAAATAGGCCCCAAATCTAGTGTGTGGCATTGATCTATGCACTAGCCTGATCATATTTGATCATATTCTGTTTTTTTTTGTTTTGTTCTGTTTTTCTTTGTTTTTATCTTTTTCATTTTCTTTTTTTTTCTCTTTCTTTTTTCTTTCTTTCCCTTTCTTTTCCCCTGGTTACAGGTCTTTTCTGATTTGTATACAGTATATTTGCTGGGGACGTTGTTAACCTGTTAGCAATCTGTTCTCTCATTCATCTGTTCTCCTCTGGACAAAATGACAAGATGAAAAAAATCACCTCAGCAAAAAGAACAAGAGTAGTACCGTCTGCCAGGGACCTACTCAATACGGACAGTAGTACGATGTCGGACCTAGAGTTCAGAATCATGACTTTAAAGATACTAGCTGGGCTTGAAAAAAGCGTGGAAGTTATTAGAGAAACCCTTTCCGGAGAAATAAAAGAACTAAAATCTAACCAAGTTGAAATCAAAAAGGCTATTGATGAGGTGCAATCCAAAATGGGGGAGCTAACTGCTAGGATAAATGAGGCAGAAGAGAGAATCAGTGATATAGAAGACCAAATGATGGAAAATAAAGAGGCTGAGAAAAAGAGAGATAAACAACTACAGGATCACGAGGGCAGAATTCGAGAGATAAGCGATATGATAAGATGAAACAACATTAGAATAATTGGGATCCCAGAAGAAGAAGAAAGAGAGAGAGGGGCAGAAGGTATATTGGAGCAAATTATAGCAGAGAACTTCCCTAATGTGGGGAAGAAAACAGGCATCAAAATCCAGGAGGCACAGAGAACCCCTCTCAAAATCAATAAAAATAGGTCAACACCCTGACATCTAGTAGTAAAACTTATGAGTCTCAGAGACAAAGAGAAAATCCTGAAAGCAGCTCAGGAGAAGAGATATGTAACCTACAATGGTAGAAACATTAGACTGGCAACAGACCTATCCACAGAGACCTGGCAGGCCAGAAAGGACTGGCAAGATATCTTCAGAGCACTAAACGAGAAAAATATGCAGCCAAGAATACTATATCCAGCTAGGCTGTCATTGAAAATAGAAGGAGAGATAAAAAGCTTCCAGGACAAACAAAAACGAAAGGAATTTGCAAACACGAAACCAGCCCTCCAAGAAATATTGAAGGGGTCCTCTAAGCAAAGAGAGAGCCTAAAAGCAGCATAGATCAGAAAGGAACACAGACAATATACAGTAAGAGTCACCTTACAGGCAATACAATGGCACTAAATTCATATCTTTCAATAGTGACCCTGAATGTAAATGGGCTAAATGCCCTAATCAAAAGACACAGGCTATCAGATTGGATTAAAAAACAAGACCCATCAATATGCTGTCTGCAAGAGACTCATTTTAGACCCAAAGACACCGCCACATTGAAAGTGAGGGGGTGGAAAACCATTTACCATGGTAATGGACACCAAAAGAAAGCTGGGGTGGCAATCCTTATATCAGACAAATTAGATTTTAAAACAAAGACTGTAATAAGAGATGAAGAAGGACACTATATCCTACTTAAAGGTGCTATCCATGTCCACAATAGCCAAACTGTGGAAAGAGCCAAGATGTCCATCGACAGATGAATGGATAAAGAAGATGTGGTATATATACACAATGGAATATTATGCAGCCATCAAAAGGAATGAGATCTTGCCATTTGCAACGACGTGGATGGAACTGGAGGGTGTTATGCTGAGTGAAATAAGTCAATCAGAGAAAGACATGTATAATATGACCTCACTGATATGAGGAATTCTTAATCTCAGGAACAAACTGAGGGTTGCTGGAGTGGGGGTGGGGTGGAAGGGATGGGGTGGCTGGGTGATAGACATTGGGGAGGGTATGTGCTATGGTGAGCGCTGTGAATTGTGCAAGACTGTTGAATCACAGATCTGTACTTCTGAAACAAATAATGCAATACATGTTAAGAAAAAAAAAGAAGAAGAAGATAGCAGGAGGGGAAGAATGAAGGGAAGTAAGTCGGAGGGGGAGAGGAACCATGAGAGACGATGGACTCTGAAAAACAAACCGAGGGTTCTAGAGGGGAGAGGGGTGGGGGGATGGGCTAGCCTGGTGATGGGTATTAAAGAGGGCACATTCTGCGTGGAGCACTGGGTGTTATGCACAAACAATGAATCATGGAACACTACATTAAAAACTAATGATGTAATGTATGGTGATTAACATAATAAAAAAGATGAAAAAAAAAGAAGAGCAAAAATGGAGATTCTAGATGGGAAAAAATACAGAAATCAAAATAAAAGTCCCCATGGATGGAAGGGCTTGTGGCCGAGTGGAGAGCACAGAGGAGATGATGAAGGAGGAACGATAAAAAGTACTCGGTC